CCGGACCCCGTCCTGAGGCAGGATGGCTGCAGGCACCCCACACACACCGTGCCCCCAGCCCTGAGCTCGGTGCTCCGGCTTGGCCCTGACTGTTCTTGGACCCCCAGGGGTCTGGCTGGCGATGTGCAGACAGGCACAGGGACAGGGCTGGGCAGAGAATGGCCACATGGCTGAGGCGGAAACTGCCTAGGCTTCATCAGATTCCAGAGCAGCTCGCTTTGTACGGGCCGGGGGAGGATGTCTTGCCCCTAAAGGAGCCCTGGGCTGGCTGCCACCCCGCACCTGCCCGCTCTCTCCTGCGCACCAGGACCACTCCCGCTCTGCCCCTGACATGCAGAGTCCAGAATATTCCATCTGGTGGCTGTCGATGACCCAGGGCCCTGTCCTTCCCCTACTCAAAATCCTTAGGGAAGCGACTTGTGGGGTGGGGCTGTGAGGTCTGGACACCTCTGGGGGGTGGCAAGGCAGGGCCTGAGAGGTTGGGTCCAGGGGGTGCCCCTGCCCGCCCTCGACTCCCTCAAAGCCCCCCAGGCCCGCCACTCAGAGCCCAGGCTGGGGAGCCGACTCCCAGGCAGCCTGTGGGCTGGCGGGGTCCCTGTGAGTGCATCCAAAGTCAGCAGACACTCAGGATCAGGTCCCACTAGGCGCTGGGACAGCCTCGGCCCCCGAGGGGCTGGGACCCATCACTGTCCCCTGAGGACACTGGCCGGGTGCCTGGGAGGAAACAGCCTCCCTCCAGGATAAGGCTGGGATCCAGTCTGGGTGCCCAGTCCTGGCCATCAGGCTTGTCTCTGACCTGCCTGGACCGGAGGTGGGGGGATGCCCCTGCAGCTTCCCAAGGAAGGGGCCAAGTCGTTGCATTTCCTGTGACCCAAAGCAACTGTCGCCCAGAGCAGCTGCCTTCCTGCCCGGTCTCCACTCCCAGCCTGCACGGAGGTCCTGCTTGGCAGCCACATCTGTGGCTCACACACCCACTTGGGGTCTCTCCCGCTGGACCTGCGGAGGCCTGGGCAGGGCAGTGCGAGGGCCGCAGGAGGCAGGGCCTGACCTAAGGCAGGGGGAGGATGCGGACCCAGGTCGGCCTCTCCCCTCCTCCTGCACCCAGCCCTGCCTTGCTGGGAACGTCCACTCTCAGCCACCCAGCCTCGTGTCCTGAGAACCCAGGAGCAGCGCATGGGCTGCAGCAGGAGGAGTCTCGGCCTGCAGAGTGGCCTCCCTGCCCCGGTGCCCAGCAGACACCCAGCCCCACCTCCTGGCCCAGGCCCGAGCAGGGGCCCCTTGTCCAGCTTGGAGCTGAGGACCACACACGGCCAAGCTCAGAGCCAAGGCACGGGCACGGAGAGTGTGCACAGGGGCCCTGTCCCTGCCCAAGGTGCAGGAGGCTCTGGAATGTCCCCTCCTGCCCCCACCCCCAGGGCTTTGGGCCTCCCTCTCGCACAACCCCGGCCTGTTTCAGCAGGAGCCGGCAGTTGCCAGAACCTTCCCAGACTCGGGGAACGATGAACCTCCAGACTCAGTGGACACAGATGTGCCCAGAAGTCAAGACTCTTGGGGGCCCTTCGCTCTTGGGGGGCCCCCACTCTTAGGGGGACCTCACTTTGGGGAGCCCTCACTCATGGGGGGCCCTCACTCTGAGGGGCCTTCACTCTTGGGGGTTCTCCCTCTTGGGGGCCTCTCACTCTTCCCCTTACTCTTAGAAGCCCCTCACTCTTAGGGGCTCCCCTACCTATGAGGCCCAGCAGCTGCCAGGGCACCCACTTCCTCGGCCCCAAAATGGTGCCCCTGGGTTCCCTGCGGCTGGGCCTCCCCCTCTGGGGGCCCACAGACCCAGGCCTGGCCCCCCGGACCCGCCTCTGCTCAGGATCCCCTGCAGCCCAGCTTCCGGGAGACCAGCGAGGACTGGGCCACCTGAGCAAGGGCCTGGGGAGCAGCGGAGCGGCGGGAGGTCAGGGGCCAGGCCTCGGGCCGCCGGCAGCCCCCGGGTGCAGTGAGAAGGGTCCCATGACCAGACCTGCTCAGGCCCACACTCCCCACAGTGCCCATGAAGCCCGTGAGGTGGGGACATCCTCACTCTCTCTGCACAGGTGGGGAAACTGAGGCACTGGCCACGTCCCCGCCAGACCCAAGGCTGCCTCCTGATGTCATGGGTGCAGCCTCAACCTGGGGGCTGCTGGCTCTGAGCTACCCAGAGCTGGGTCAGGGTGGGAGCGGCTCTGGGGCCATGGGAGACCACGGGGACAGCTCCAGCGTCCCCTCCCGGGAGCACATGGGGCTGCCCCCGACCCCACGCCCCGAGGAGGACGCAGGGGCTCATTCCGCTGCCCCGACTGGCCTTGGGTACTGCGCGTGCGTTTGTTCACTCGTTCGTTCCACCCGTTTCCGGGGCCTCCGGCGCCTGCGCTCAGAGGACGCTGGTGGGAACAGACACTGTTGTCCCTGAAAATGAGACAGAGCGGGTGTCGTGGAGCAGGAGGAGGGACACCGGTCCATCTGGAACCCCACCTGTGCCTTCCTGGAGGGCTCCCTGGGAGTGGTATCTGGGCTCAGCCTAGAGGGAGCCTGAGAGGGCGGTGTGGGTGCCGGCGGCAGCGCCCAGGGGCTCTGAGTTGGGGGGAGCCGATGGGCAGCTGGGGGTGGCCGCCGGCCGGGGCCTTGGGCAGCAGGAGGACAGGGTGGCAGGTGCAGGTGGAGGCTGAGAGAGGCCGGTGGTCGTGGGGCTGGCCAGTCACACCAGGGGGAGGTGACAGGTGAGGCAGGTTAGGACTTGGGCCACAGATAACCCTCCCCCTCAGGCTTCTGGCTCTGCTCACTGGGTGGGTGTGGGGCGAGGGGCAGAGGGAGGGCCAGTCTGGGGAGCTTTGCTCGGGGTGCCAGGGGACCCAGGTCTGGACCGGCAGAGAGCCGGGGGAGTGCTTGGCATGGGGCGGACTAGAGCCTCAGAGGAACACCCGCGGGAGAGCACAGGGGGTCTGGGACAGGCGTTTATGGGAGGCTCCGGGCAGCCTGAGGAGGCAGGATCTGACCAGGGCCCACCGGCCGCGCGGCAGACCAGCAGGGACAGGTGCAGAAGGAAGAGCCAGGCCCGAGGGGCTGGGTGGGCAAGGGGCCTCCTGCTGTCACGGGTGGGCCTGGCCCTACCCACCCAGCCCAGCCGCAGCCTGCGACGTCCTCCCCTCCCTGGCCCACTGCTCGCTGCACAGGGGCGAGCGCTGTGCCCACCAGCTCAGAACGTTTGCCCCAGGTCTCCGGCCTGGCCAGCTGGGCCTGGGTGGCATTGCAGTTGGGTGCTGAGCAGGCAGGGGCTGCTGGGATGGGGTCCTCCCCGGGGGTCTTTCCACAGACCCTCCCATTAGGAGACGGAGGAGCCGATTCCTGAACCGAGGGGGGTTCACGGCAGCTCCCAGGGCATCAGTAGAGGCCACACAACCGCTGGGTGATGGCCCATGGGGAGGAGGGGACATGGGGACTGCTGCTCCTTCTCCTGCCCACCAGGGAAAGGGGGAGGGAGGGACTCGGGCCCGGCTCCAGGTACTGGGTCTGAGGGGTCCCCTGGGACCCTCCAGGGAGCCCCTTCACCACAAGAGGACCTTGCCCCATAAGGCCCCACTGCCCCTCCCTGGCAGGTTAGCCCCAGCCTGCCCTGATGAGGGCTGTTCGGACCCAGAGCCACCTCCTCCCCACACCGGGTCCCCTGTCCTGGGCCGTCTCTTCCCCACCTCACCCCAGGGCCTGATCCCCGCTGGGAGGGGCCCTTGTCTGGGGTAGCCTGGCCCGGGCAGAAGCTTCCAGCCAGGCCACCGAGAGCACCACAGGCACCCCCAGGGCCAAAGGATCTCCAGGACTCAGCTGGCAAACAGGCAGGGACGCCCCAGGCCCACGTTCCTTTCCTGCCCGGCCCCCTCCTCGCCTGCCACTGCCCCCTCCCGAAGGGAAGCTCCAGGTCTGCTACCAGCCCGGGCAAGGGCCCGGGTCCCCCAAACCCCACCTATTCTGACAGACGCCCTCTCAGCCCCTGCTCTGGGCTGGGGCTGGTGGGAGGCTGGGGGTGGGGGTCTCAGGCCTGCCTCGGCCCCGCCCTGCACTGCTGCCCTCCTCGCCCGCTGGCCGGCTCTCAGTGCTGCTTGACTCTCCGGACCCCATGCCCTCACCCAGGAAGCCCACCACCCTGCTTTCCCCAACATTCCCGAACTCCCAACCTAGGCCCACCCCGCCTTGGAGGACCCGGACTGGGCCACAGCTCAGCTGCCTGCCCGGCCCCACAGCAAGGCCCCAGCCAGGGCCAGGGTGCTGCAGGGGCCTGTGGGAGCCCGAGGTGCAGGCTTGGCCTCAGCCCTCCAGGTAACAGGACAGGCCTGACCCCATAGGCTGCCACCACTGTCATTGGGCCGGCCTGGGGACGGGGGGACAGCTTGGAGCAGCCAGGGCCTCCAGTGAAGGATGGGGTTTGCCCAAGCCCAGAGGGGCCCCAGGCTGAGACAGGCACCCAGAGGCCACCATCAGAGCCCCAACAGCTGGCCACGGGGAGCTGTGCCCAGCACACCTCAGCCTTGGGCCCTTTCGGGGCAGATCGAGTTGTTTACCTTGGCCCAGGTTTCTCACCACTACCTGGCCTCTCCTTTCGGGACCAAACTCTCAGTGCAAATGGGGCTTGTATCCCCTCCCAGGCTCATGGGGCTGGGAAAGGCCATGACAGCAGGGCTTGTGACATGCAGTTCTGGACCAAGTGGGAAGTCACCAGAGGCCCCCCCCGCCGGAGGCAGGGCATACACCCCCTCCCCCAGCCGGCCAGGTGGGCCTTGCTGGCAGGAGTGGGGTGACCCAGGGCTGGGCCAGCTCTACTCTGGGACTGGCCTCCACCTCACCCTCACTCAGCCTGGGGCAGCAGGGCCAGGCCTGTCTCAGTGGGAGCCTCTTGCATAAGCGGCGCGTGGGGCAGGCAGCTGCAGCTGGGCCCGGCCCCCCACACCCCCCTCCCCAGCATCACGAGTTTCCAGTGGGCTGTCCTTGGGCCTGGGGTGGAGGCCAAGCCTGGCCCATAAATAGGGGTCTCCGCAGGGCCCTCCATGCCTCCCGCACACCTCCCGTGCTCTGCCCACACCACTGGCACCAGGCCCCGGACACCTGCTCTGCTCCAGAATGGCCGCTCCACGCCTGCTGTGGATGGGGCTGGTCCTGTTGGGAATCCTGGGGGTCCTGCAGACCCAGGCCCAGGCCCCGGTCTCTGTGCAGCCTGACTTCCAACAGGACAAGGTGAGGGGCTTGCCCACCCCATCCCCAAGCACAGGGCCTGCCAAGGGAGGGGGCACTTTCAGGTGGGTTTTCTCCCTGGGGAGAGGGAGCTAAGTTCTGCAGCGCCGGGCACTGCCAGGCAGAGGCCTGAGCGGCCGGCCGGAAGGAGCGCACTGGCAGCTGCCCCAGGAGGATGACCGCGGGAGACCCCACCCCGGGGCAGTGGCAGTTCACCCACCCAGAGGGCAGAGCCCCGTCTGCACTGACAGGCACACGCAGACGTGCGGGCCACATCTGTGCCCGCACCATCCAAACACCGTCGCTCCCTCCTGTGAGCACACGACGCCCAGAGGACACACACGCACACGTTCCACACCTGGGACCCGGGACAGGGCTCTGTGCCGAGCGCGCGCACGAGGAACGCGCACTGCAGCCAGCCAACCACGCGCGCTCACGCCTGGGAGCTGCGCGGGGACGCGCGGGGCGCGGGTTCTGCCCCTGCGCGCTCCCTCTCCCCGGCCGAAGAGACGCCGGGCGGTTCAGCCTGGCCCGACCCCCGCGGGAATGGGGCGCCCTGCGCCGCCGCTCCGCCCACAGGCACCTCGCCAGGGGGCCGGGTGGGTGCCGGGGTGGCGGGGACGGCTGATCCCAGCCCAGGGAGGGGCGGGGCCGGGGGGGGGCGAGGGGCGGGGCAGCCTAGGAGGCTCGGAGAGTCCGGAGGGTCCGGGCCGACGCGGGCGGGGCGTTCGCCGCAGTTCCTGGGGCGCTGGTTCAGCGCGGGCCTCGCCTCCAACGCGAGCTGGTTCCGGGAGAAGAAGGCGGTGCTGTCCATGTGCAAGTCGGTGGTGGCCCCGACCGCGGACGGCGCCCTCAACCTCACCTCTACCTTCCTTAGGTGGGACAGCGGGCGGGGACGGGGGGCGGGTTCCTGGCACCACGAGGACCCCGACCCGTGGTCGCGGCCTGGGGCCACCCTGGGGCCCGACGCCTGACCCGGAGGGTGACCCGCCCACAGGAAAGACCAGTGCGAGACCCGGACTATGCTGCTGCGGCCCGCGGGGACTCCCGGCTCCTACAGCTACCAGAGTCCCCGTGAGTGGGCCCCGCCCCAGCCCCCGGTCCGGCCTGGGAGTGACATGTGCTGGCAGTGGCCCTGGGCGAGCCCCCCGCCCTGGAGACTGGGATGGGGGCTGATGGCCACTCCTCCAGGGTCAGCGAGTCCAAGGCCAGGCCTGGGCATGACTTCACCTCACGAACAGATGTGGGGGACAAGGGACCCTTTCTCTAGGAGACTGGATCCCCCAGAGTCACCCATGCCCTGCAAGGCCCCTTCCGTGCCCCATGGGATTTCCCCAGACCTGCTGTCCAGGTGGGACCCGCACAAGCAGCCCCCCAAGTCCCTCCGCCACCTCCTTGCAGTTCTTCCCAGGCCTGGGGGCTTCCTCACTCCCACCAGCGGGGATGGCTCCTCCCCCGGAAACCTTTTCCCCCTGGTACCCGCCAAGAGTTCTGTGGCTGCGCCATGAACCCCTGATCTTGTTGAGCCTGTGTGTTTCCTGGCTCCCCAGGACTTCGGGCTTGGGGATGCGGGGCTCACAGACTGTGCAGGCAGGAAGCAGGGAGCAGGCTGCTGGAAGCAGGGAGAAGACAAGGAAAGCAGCTGGGGGGTGGGGGCTGGGGGGCATCCCTGCAGGTGGGTGCACCCCTTCCCTGAAGCAGAGGGGCCGAGTCCCTCAGGCAGGGCCATCTCTTGGGTTCCCAGACTGGGGCAGCACCTACTTCGTCTCGGTGGTGGAGACCGACTACGTGGAGTACGCCCTGCTGCACAGCGAGGGCAGCAAGGGCCCGGGCCAGGACTTCCGCATGGCCACGCTCTACAGTAGGTGCCCGGCACAGGGCTGCAGGACCGAGGCCTGACCACAGAGGGGGTGGGGGCAGAATGGGGACCTCTCGCTACTAAGAACCCTCCCTCTCCACCTGCCCCAGGCCGCACCCAGACCCCCAGGGCTGAGTTAAAAGAGAAATTCACCACCTTCTGCGAGGCCCAGGGCTTCACAGAGGATACCATTGTCTTCTTGCCCCGAAACGGTGAGGGCCGGCCGGGCCGGGATCTGATGGGTGGGGATTAGGCGAGATTAGAGGCAGAGAGGCCCCTGATTGGGCTAGGGTGGAGCGCTGAGGGGAGGGGCTGTCACAGAGCCAGTGACCTCTGCCTGCAGCCCCCTCCACTAGGAAACCCCTCCCTGATGGATGCCAAGCACCGCTTGGTGCCAGGCCCCAGGCGGGTGGGGTGGGGGAGGGGTGCCCGTGGGGAACACAGGGCAGCAGCCCGACTGGGGCTCGGGCTCCCTGTGTGCACAGTCTGCTCAGCTGAGGTGCAGAAAGGCCACTCTGTTTTGAGGAGCAGGGGGCTGAGGCGGGGTGGGACGCGAGGGGCTCTGTGCAGCTTGGGGGCTCACTCAGACCAGCTCTCCGTTAGAGGAGGGACAGGAAGCCCAGGTGGGGGAATTGGCCCTGGCTGGGGTTCTGACCACAGCCCCTGGGCCTCTTTCTTGGCAGATAAATGCATGACGGAGGCAGAATAGGTGAGCCAGGTCGGGCTGTGGCCAGCTTCACCCCAGCAGGCGCCACCCGTTCATGCGTTCCTGCACGCATTCATTCATCCGCACACATCCACCTCCCACCCTGGGATGGGTTGGGGTCCCTGGACAGCCTGGTCCTAAGACCGACCCCTGCCAGGGTTGGGCGGGAGACACAGGCAATCCCTGAACCGCGCAGACATCCAGGTGTGCGGGTCAGAAAGGAGGCCTGGTCCCCGCTGCTGGAACAGGGCTGACTCTCAAAGGCTCAGGGGGGCCACAGGCAGGCAAGGGTCTGGGTTCCAGGTCCCCAGCAGACAAGGGGGAGGGACTCCACCTGCAGGGACCATCCTGCTGCAAGGGTCTCTGGCCCCTGGGGGCAGGAAGGAACCAAAGTGGGGCGGACAGGATGGGAGGGGATGGGCGACAGAGAGCACAGGGCACTGGACTCTGCCTCGGGGACCAGGCTCTGGCAGGCTTCGCCCCTGCCCCCAGGAGGGAGCCCTGGGCTGGAAGTGCAGTCTATGGTCTGGGGCTGGGAGAGGCAGAGAGGTGCCTGCACCGATGGGTCCTGCTCTCCCGGCCAGGTGACCCCAGCCCTCGGACCACTCTGCTGTGCTCTTTCCTCCGAGCCCGAGTCCTTGCTCTCCCCAAATTGCCTCTGTCCCCCGGCTCTGAGAAATAAACTCCTGAAGCAAGTCAGCAGCCTGGCTCCTGCCTGTCTGTCCTGTCCTCCCTGGCTCTGGCCACTGGACCACCCCTGAGAAAGACGTCAGCAAAGGGGCAGGCTCTGCCCTCCAGCTAAGGGGGCAGCCCTCGCTGTCCCCAGCCACCCACACAGGGCTGCGACCTTGGCACAGCCTCACCCTGCAGCTGCCAGCCATTGCCAGGCCTGTTTCGGGCTGGTGGGGGTGAGCCACTCGGCTCCTAATCCCTTAGGCAGGTGTCCCCTCTTGCAGGGGTGGGGAACCCGTGGCCTTGGGGCCATGTGGCCTCTGGATCCTTGAGTGAGGCCTTTTGACTGAATCCAAATTTTACAGGGATTTGTTCTGTGAAGTTTGGATTTGGTTGAGGGGCCGCACTTGGGAATCTGGAGGGAGGTTTGGATCCGGTGGGTTTGTCAGGGTGCGGGATTATCTACTCAGAGTCGGCAGAGATAAGGGTTTCAGGGACTAAAAAGAACATTTGTTTGTGAGATGCTGGAGTGTCTGTGCCCTGTGCCAGGACAGACTGACACAGTGGGCTGGGCACAGGCCTCCCTAAGCACCCCAGCCCCCTGGGCCTCCAGAGCACAGCCCTGCCCATTTGCTGAGCCCTGGCACCCAGGCCACGGGGGGCGGGTGAGCTTCTGGGTGGCCTTCCTGGGGACCGTGCCAGAGCTGAGGGCTGGGGGCAAACATCCCAGAGAGGCAGGGTGGGCAGGCTGTCAGAGGCCTGCCAGACTACGTGCCCCCCAGCTGCTGGGCATCCCGCCCCACCTGCAGGGGATGGGCGGGGATGGGTGCAGGCAGCTGGGCCAGGGTGCTGCAGGGTGCAACTCGATCGCAGCCTATCGCAGTGGGCTCTGTCCCAGGTGGGCAGGCCAGCTGCCCCAGGGCGTCCCAGGGGCATAAATGCTGCATGCGGGACGGCCTCAGCATTGCCCTGCTCCAGCACCTGAGGAGTTGCCCTGCCCGCCGTCCTCCACGATGCTGCGGGCTCTGCTGACCGGCTCCTTCCTCATCCTGTTCGGACTGTCCCCAGGCCAGGCCCAGGTCCCCATCCAGGCCAACTTTGATGCCAGCCAGGTGTGCCCAGCTCCATCCCCTCCTCCTCATGGATGAGCCATCCACCCAGGTCCCTGCCCACACCCTCTATGATCCAGACTCAGAAAAGACCCCCGCCCACCTGCGCCATCGGACTAAGAGTGGGGTGGGCTGGGGAAGCCAGCAAGCCCCCAGCCCAGCCTTTAGATTGCACCCACCGCCACTCCCTAGGGCCTAAAATTGGGACAGGGAGCACCTCGACCCCCCCAGTTCTGGGTCAGGGTTGTCACGGGTGTGAGGTTGCTGGCACTGGGCCCCAGCTGGGAAGCAGCTGTGGGGACAGGCCGGGGCAGGCTCAGGCCAGGGTTCAGGCTGGGGCCCAGGGGTGCCTCCCAGCCCTCCCTGCACCCACCCTGCAGTTCCAGGGCACCTGGTACGTGGTCGGGGTGGTGTCAGATGACCAGGGCTTCCTAGACTCCAAGGACAACATGAAGATGCCTGTGGTCTTAGTGACTCCCTTGGCCAATGGTGACCTGGGCCTCAAGTTTGGGTATCCCACGTAAGTGACCCCACATGCCTCACACCTCCGACCCGGCCTCAGACAAGGGCCAGTGTGAGGCAGAGGATGGCCGGCAGAACCAGAGGTGTCCCTGACATGTCGGGGGGTCAGACCACGGGCTGCAGGGACCCAAACAGCAACAGCAGCTGGCACGATCCCCAGAGGGGCCCAGGCCACGGTGAAAGCCTCTGCCTGAGGCCTAGGTGTGGAGGAAGCAGTGTCAGCGTGTCTGTGTCTGTGTGTCAGTGTGTGTGTATCGCTGTGTGTGTCTGTGTCTATGTGTGTGCCTGCGTCTGCGTGTGTACCAGTATCCATCTGTGCGTGTAGCTGTGTGTGTCTGTGTCTCTGGAGGGGAGACTGGGGACCCTGTACCGCCGGCCGCGTGCCCTAGAGCAGGTCCTTACCACCTGCCGCCGCGCCAGCAGGAGCGTCCCCCCTGCAAGATGACCACACAGCACCCGTGTCCTCTGAGAGCTCTTGTCAGGGTGAATCAGGGGCCCTCGCTCAGTGCTGTGGCTGCAGCATCCGCAGGACCCCAGGCAGGACTGGGCTGCAGAGAGTGAGGCAGGCCTTGCCTGGGCGCTGGACGGCTGCTCAGAGGGCTGGGCTCCCAACCCCAGGCCGGACGGTGGGTGCCAGAAGATGGACATGACCTTCACCAAGGGGACCACGGAGGGGCAGTTCAGCAACCCAGGTGAAGCTGGATGAGGCTTGCGCAGGACAGAGGCGGTGGGGCCTTGGGGGCTCTGCAGGCTGTCTGTCCGCACCCTGGGCCAGGGTGTGGGGGCGGTTATGCGTTCCGGGGCGGGGCGTCCGGCGGGGCGGGGCGTCCAGGAGCGACTAGGGCGTGTCCTGGGCTGGGGGTCACCCTCTCTTCCTCCCTCAGCCATGGCCCAGACTGACATCCGCGTGGCCTTCACGGACTACCAGCACTTCGCCTTGTTATACTTCGAGACGCGGAAGGGGGGCCTGCGGAACGTCTGGCTGCAGCTCTACGGTGGGCGGGGCAGGGGGTCGAGGTCCCCACCCCAGGTCTGGTCTGGAGTGTTACCCATGTGCACGTTCCAGCTCGTTCTCAACCTGCAGACGAACCCTGGAACCCGAGTTTGTGGCCGCGGGGTCAGACTCCTCCTGCCCCTCTCCAGCCCCTCCCCGCCCACTCCTCCTCCCGCCTGCCCCTCCCGGCTCACGGGCCCTCTCTGTCCTCAGCCCGAGCCCCGGAGCTGTTTCCCGAAGGCGCCCAGAAGATGCAGCTGCTGGCACCCCAAGTGGGCCTCAACCCCAGCCAGGGCGCCCTCCTGCCCAAGTCTGGTGAGCGCAGTCCCCACCCCTGCTGGGAGGGCCAGGCCCCGAGGGTCACCCGCACTGACCCCAGACACAGACAGAAGCGCCAGGGGCAGCTCAGCCTGTCTGACCCAGGGGAGGACGAGACATTGCCCAGGCAGGTGCTGCCAGGAGGGGGTGGCAATTTGGGAGGATGGGGGCTCCGCCCCAGGGAAAGGGGCCACCGGGCGACTCCTCAGGCCCGCTCTCTCCCGCAGACCAGTGCGCCGGCGCCCTCTCCCAGGTGAGTGGACCCGCGGGACCGGCGCCCCGGGACCAGTGAAGGCCCCTCCCGGGGGGTGGGGGCGCACTGCGGGGTCGTCCGCCGTGGGGGCAGGGAGTGAGGCAGGGCGGGGGTGGCCACAGCGTCAGGGCGGAGGAGCCGCAGGCTGCAGGGGGCCGCCGGGCCCGGGCGGGGGAGGGCGCAGGAGACGCCCCCACCCCGCCCCTGTTTTGCAGTGAGGGAGGCAGCTCGAGCGCCGCCCTGCCGCTCCGCGTCCCGCGCCCTCCCGCGGAGCCGCGTTTCTGTCCACACCCCGCCCCAGCTCAATAAACGGTCTCTGAAAGCCTGTGCGCCGCTCACTGCCGGGGAGGCGGGCGCGGCGCAGAGTGGGGCGGGGGCGGGACCGGCCCAGAGCTGCGCGCCGCGGGGCTCGGGCTTGGGCCGCGCAGGGCGGTCCTTCCTCCGTCTGGTGCGGGGGCCGGATCCCCTCGCTGGGCGCGGCCTGGGCTGGCGTTTAGCCGAGACCCACTGAGGCTCGGCCCTGCGGGAGGGAGGCTCATCCCCAGCGGCCGAGGAGGTGGAAGGGCTTTCCTGGCTGCCCGCACTAGGGTGTGGCCGCAGCTCAGCGGCCGAGCGCGGCGCGTTCCGTGCACCGACCCCACGCCACCTGCGCCCGGCCTTCTGGAACCTCCCAAACGGCAGCCCCGAGCTTGTGTCTGGGCAGCTTCCATCCCCAGGCGCCTCTGCCCGTGGCCTAACTTCCCAGACTCCTGGCCCCAGGTTCCCAGGCCCCTGGCCCCAGGTCTGGTCTGGAGTGTTACCCATGTGCACGTTCCAGCTCGTTCTCAACCTGCAGGCGAACCCTCGAACCCGAGTTTGTGGCCGCGGGGTCGGACTCCTCCTGCCCCTCTCCAGCCCCTCCCCGCTACCTGGGCCCGCCGGGCTGCTGCAGAGGCCAGGTGCCCTGCCGCCTCTGCCCTCCCTCCCTCCCCTCTCTCCCCGCCTCTGCCCTCCCTCCCCTCTCTCCCCGCCTCTGCCCTCCCTCCCCTCTCTCCCTGCGCAGAGTGGGAGGAGAGGACGGGAGGAGCATGAATAAAACTGTCCTGCCTTTGTCTTCACGGGGCAGAATAGTGTTAAAAGACGTCCTGAAGAATTCGAGGTTAAATGGCATACTGTCTGTAATGTACATGGTTTAGCAAAATAATAACTAATGCTGGTTATCAATTTGTCAAAATGTTAATTCATCTGGGCGATGGATCCGTGGGGCTCATTGTGCTATTATTTCTGCTTTTCAGTTGGTTAGAAAGTTTTCATTAAAAAACACAACCAGGCTGGTCACGGTGGCTCACGCCTGTAATCCCAGCACTCTGGGAGGCCGAGGAGGGAGGATCGCTTGAGGTCAGGAGTGTGAGGCCAGCCTGAGCAAGAGTGAGAGCCTGTCTCTACTAAAAATAGAAAAATTAGCCAGCCGTAGTGGTGTGTGCCTGTAGTCCCAGCTACTCAGGAAGCTGAGGCAGGAGAATCCCTTGAGCCCAGGAGTTTGAGGTTGCTGTGAGCTATGATGACTCCATGGCACTCCAGCCTGGGTGACACAGTGACTCTGTCTCAAAAAAATAAAATAAAAAATAAACACAACCCTATCTTGCCAGACTTGCTTTCTTTGCTTGGGGCTCCTGGGGCTGGGAGGTCAGAGATAAGGAGTCCCCCCAACCCAGGAACCCTGGACAGCCCCTCCGCACCTGCACCAACACCTGGGTGCCCAGTGACCTTTGATGCCCTGGTACCTGCTGCCCTCTGGCAGAGCTGTGAACAGTACAAAGGCAGGTCCTGCCCAGGTCCTGCCCCTGCCCCCAGCCCGAAGGCCCGGGGAGGGGAATGGTGTGGTAAGGCCCAGAGAGCCAACCGCACCCCCCCGTCTGTGGCCTGTGTAGCTCACCCTCTGGGGCAGGCTGCACAGGGCAATGCTTGGGCAGGGCACGGACGCCCACCTTAGAGAGGCATCTGCTGAGAGATACTGTCTGAGCTCCAGCTATCACTAGATCCATCTATCGGTTGTCATTCAGCTTCCACATGGACCAAGAGAAGAAGAGGTGGAAGCTGCCGCCATGGCAGCAGCAGGGTTGAAGTAGAAAGGTGGGGAGGCTCACCTTCCTGCAGACCGCCACAGATGCCTCTGCATTCCCCTGGGAAGGGTCTAGAGTGGGGAATCGTCCTCCATGGACTTGGGGACACCCTTCCCTTCTTTTTGGGGTGGGGCAGTCCCTGGGGACCTCTGTGGGTCCAATAGTGGTCACACCCTGACTCCCTGCAGTTCAGCTCTGGACTCTCGTGTCCTGCACCACCCTGCTGGGGCCATCCAGGCACAGCCCTCAGCCTGTTCTCCCCCCAGAAGCCCAGGGGATGCATGCACGAGATATGTCAGAGAAGGCCCTCACTGCTGCGAACTGTCCCCAGTGGATCCCATCTCACTGAGAGTAAAGGCCAGAGGCCTTATGGTGGCCCACAGCCCCCGCCACAGGCTCCCTCTGACCCCACCGTCTACTCCTCCCCAGCCCTGCTGCTGCCTCGTGCCCCTTGAACATGCCAGCCCCATGCCTGCCTCAGGGCCTTTGCACGAGGTGCCCCTTCCTGGAGTGCCCTTCTCCAGCTGTCCACTCAGCTCACTCGCTCCCCCCCCGAAACCTTTTGCTTGGTCCTTCCTTTGCCCTCCAGGACACCGAGCCTTGGCTGCCCCCGCCCCTCTGGAGCTCTTCTCTCTACCTTTTGCTCCACACCCCTGGTGGTGGGCCAGCCCTCGCTCTTCCCTGCTCTCCCTTACGTGCTGCCTCAGGCCTGGGTGCCTGGGGCCTTCCTGGAGCACCCCCTTCTCTGCTTCAGGGCTCTACTCACCTTGCATCCATACACATCCACATGCCCCGTACCCCACATTACACAAAGTTGCTCACTAAGGAAGAGCTGAGTTGTTCTAGACTGGCTGGCAGGTTCCAATTCTAGACATTCATGTAATTATTTAAATGAAGAGTTTACACTTTTCTTACCACGTTTTGGAACTAATCTTTGTTTTGGGTCTTGTATTAGTTTCCTATGACTGCTGTAGCCAATTATCACAAACGTGTAGCTTAAAACATTCATTTATTTTCTTACAGCTTTTGAGGCTAGGTGTCCAAAATCAGTTTCACTGATTTGGGGCTGGGCTGTCTCCCCCGAAGGCTCTAGGGGAGAGTCCTTCCTGCCTCTTCTGGCTCCTGCTGGTAGCGGCAACCCTTGGCTGGTGGCTGCAGCGCTCCCCTCCCTCCCTCCATGCCACGCTGCCTCCTTCCTTCCTGCGCCAAAGCATCCCCTGCCTCTCTCTTATAAGGACAATTGAGATGGCGTTTGGGGCACACCCAGATAACCCAGGATAAGCTCCCCATATCAAGATCACATCTGCAGCCCAGGAGGCTGAGGAGGGACGGTTGCTTGAGCCCAAGAATTCGAGGCTACAGCGAGCTATGATTGCACCACTGTACTGCAGCAACAAATGATCACATCTATAAAGATCCCTATTCTATGTTTCCATACAAGATAAAATTCACAGGCAGGTTCCAAGGATTAGGACATGATAACTTTGGGGTCCTTTGTTCAGCCTCCCACATTCTACCTGGAAACGTCTTCCTAGGCCCTGGGCGGACTAGTGTTTAAGGCAGCCCTGTGCCCTGGCAATTCCACCTTCACGTCCCCAGCTCACGCCTTCCCCAGACTAGAGCCTGGTGGACACACGGCCTCATCCCCGTGGACATCCGGCTGGCAACTCGGAGCTCACATGACAAAGGAGATGCCCCACATCCTCTCCAAACCTGTCCCACCCTGGTCATCTTGGGGATGACTCTCCCCATTTCCACCCTCCCGAGATACAGGGGCGTCCTTGCTCTGCCCCCAGCCCTTTTCTCTCCACCTGCATCCCAGCCCATGGCCCAGCCCCTATCAGCTGTGTCCTGAGACCAGCAGCTCTCTGGTACCATCCCTGCCCCCCACCTCACCCCTGCAGCCCCCTTCCCCTCCCCTCACAGCACACAGCATGGGCTTTACACGCATAAATCAGACGTGCCACCCCCATCCACCCTGCTGAAACCTCCACCAGCCCCCACCCCTCCATTCATCCATCCATCCATTCATTCATTCAATCACAACACTCCCTGAGCGTCTCTACGTGCCAGGCACTGTTGAAGCACTGAAGACATAGATATGGTGGCAAATAAGACAGAAAGCCCTGTCTTCGTGGACCATGGAGATGGACAATAAGCAGGATAAGTAAGTGTACTGGGCATCTACTGCTGAGTAACAAGTTACCCCCAAATGTAGCAGCTTTAAACAAGTGTGTATTGTCTCCCAGTTTTCTTCTTTTTCTTTTTTTTTAAGAGATGGGGTCTTCCTCTGTCATCAGGCTAGAGTGTAGTTGGTGTCATCATGCAGCCTCAAACTCTTGGGCTCAAGTGATCCTCCTGCCTCAGCCCCCTGAGTCGCTGGGACTACAGGCATGCACACCGGCTAATTTTTGAATTTTTTGTAGAGATGGGGTCTTGCTATTTTGCCCAGACTGGTCTTGAACTCTTGGCCTCAAGTGACCTTCCTGCTTTGGCCTCCCAAAGTGCCAGGATTACATGGGAGCCACCACACCTGGCTTATCTCTGTTTCTGAAGGTCATAAATGTTGTCCTCAGTTACAAGATCAAGCTGTCGGCTGGGGCTGTGGTCTCATGGGAAGGGTCAGCTGGTCAGCTGGGGGGTGGGTCTTCTTCCCAGCTCCCTCACTGGCTGTTGGCAGGCTTTGGTCCTTTGCCACACCAACTTCTCCACAGGGCTGCCTTGTGTCACGCTGGGCATTTCAGGAGGAAGGGACAAGTGACGGCCCATCACTTCTGCCATATTCTAGCAGCTAGAAGAGAGTCATTAAGTCCAGCTCAGGGGGAGGGGATTACACAAAGGTGTGATCTACCAGGAGGCTAGAATAGTTGGGGCCATCTTAGAGCCTACTACCACAATAAGTAAACTAGAATGTCCTTTATATAGTGACAAGTATGGAAAATAAGTAAATGAAACAGGAGAGAGGGACATGAGAGCTGGGAAGGACGTCGAAATGTTATATACAGTGACCAGGGAAGGGGACTTTTGAGTAAAGACCTGAAAGAAAGTGTGTGAGGCGGAGGAAGTGTGTGAGTCTGGGGAAAGGATGTGCCAGGCAGACACAGCAGCATGTGCAAAGGCCCTGAGGCAGGAGTCTCTGCAGGACTGAAGGGGCATGAACCAGAAGAAAGCAGGAGCAGAGGCATGCTGGGCTGAGGGCAGCCTTGGATACCTAGCACAGCCTGCAAACTCACTGGGCCTCCCCGCAGCCAGCCCGCCATCACCCCAGCCTTCTTGCAAAGCCTTGAGCAGAGCTGTTATGCTCCCTCCGTGGGGCCTCTGCCTGGGACCCCCATTCTGGCACACTCCACCCTTATCTTACTCAAAGGCGCAGTCAGACAGCACCTGCTCCGAATCCAAGTTGCTCCCATCTGGCAGCACCAGCTGCAGGTCCTGCCTAGCACGGGCCCTGCCCAAGAGCTGCGCTTGTCTGTCACTTGTCTCCCCTGTTCGCTCCTACAAACCCCGGGGGTCAGAGACCTTGGCCCTGATCAAGGTGTCCCCAAGGCCTAGGACGGCACGAGGCACGCAGGAGGCGCTGGAGTACGGGCAGGATGGACGGATGAGTGACGGACCTCCCGCGCCGGTCGCCATCCTTTACTCACTTTTGTCCTTGGACATGTCACAGTGAGGCGTTAGCAAGCCCCGCGTGTGTATCTAAACACGACGTGACACTTGCGGGGGGGAGAGCACGAGCGGCCGTGCGGGGGGAGGGCTGGGGCTGGGCTGGGCCAGGAGGGAAGCCCCCGGACTCCGCGGGGTCCAAAGGGCCCAGGAGGGGCGAGGCTGAAAGGCACTCGCCCAGGCTGGAGCTCAGGAGCACAGAGCGCCGAGCCCCGCACTAAGCTCCGCTCCACTCTGGCCCTGCCCTAAGCTCCGCCCCAGCCCCGCACCAAGCTCCGCCCCGGCCCCGCACTAAGTTCGGCCCCCGCTCCGCTCCGCCTCGCCCTGGACCTAAGCTCCGCCCCCTGGCTCCGCAGCCCCCAGGCAGGCCCAGGGTCCCCCGTGCTAGGCGCTGGTCCTAAGCCCCGCCCCGCGCAGGCTCCGTAGGCCCGGCTTATCTTGTCCCGTCCCGAAGCCCCGCCCCCAGCTCTAGAAGCCGCGCCCCCGGCCAGACTCCGGCGTGCTCACGCTCCCTGGACACCACGGCCGGCCTGCGCCTGGCTCCGGAAGCCGTCCTTACGCGCAGGCGCACTAAGCCCGCAGCGGGCCCGCCCCTTCCGGCGTCCCAGGCATTTCTGTCTGGGTCCCCGCGGACGGAGCTGCCATGGTGCTGCCGCTGCCGCTGTGCACGCTGCCGCCCGGCCCCGGACCGCCTCGCTTCGTGTGCTACTGCGAGGGGGAGGGAAGCGGGGACGGGGATCTCGGCGCCTTCAACCTCTAGTGAGTGGGGTTCGCGGGCGGGAGGGGCTCAGGGAGCTCTGCGCGGCCCCTTCTGACAGCCGCTCCGCCCCCCGCCCCAGTGTAACGGACGCGGTGGCGCTGTGGAGCACCTGCTTCACGCTGGACAGCCTGGCGGCCCTCGTGAGTAACGGGGCACCTGGGCAGGTCAGGGAGCCTGCAACCCCATACCTGCAGGCCAGACCGCCTGAGGGGTAAAGGGGATCTGGGATTCCCCAGCACGGTCTGAGCACCCCCATTTCTCTGCCTAGTAGCTGTAGTCCTAAAATTTCCCTGGGATCCCAGGTAGCTCCGGGGCCCGGCACGTTTGGGTTGCCCCCAGTGGGTCTAGGGTCCCAAGCAGCTGGTGACAAGCTTCTGTGCCCTGTAGAAAGCCCGTTTTGGCCTGAGTGCGGCTGAAGACATCACTCCCCGGTTCAGGTGAGACTCGAGCAGGGAAAAAGGGTGGATGGGAAGCCAGTGGGTCTGGCCACAGCATTCATTCAGCACCTCTCCTTTCCCAGGGCAGCCTGCGCACAGCAAGCTGTGACTCTGACCCTGCAGGAGGACAAAGCATCCCTGACCCTTTCAGGGGGCCTCTTGGCCCTGGCCTTTGACCTGTCCAAGGTGCCTGGCCCAGAGGCAGCCCCCAGGTTGCAGGCACTGACACTGAGCCTGGCAAAGCGTGTGTGCAGCTTGGAGCGGCAGCTGACAGGTAAGGTGGGAGTGGGCATCCCATACCCTTGCTGGGATCCCCTGCTCCTGGCACCAAGTGGGTGACCCCTGGCTTTCTCTGCCAGCTGCAGAAGAGACAGCTCCCAGCCCCAGGAAGAGCCCACGGCCTGCAGGGCCTCAGCTCTTCTTACCAGGTAAAGTGTGTCAGTCGGACTTGGGTTGGGTTGTGCTTTCCTCTGGAACACGGTTTCTCCAGAACAACCTTTAAGCTCCAGAGGGAGGATCTGTCTGTTCAGAGAGGGTTGTGGCCAGGGGTGCCACCAGGTTCAGGAGCCCCTACATCCTAGCACCCTATTTTCCCCCAGACCCAGATCCCCAGAGAGGTGGCCCTGGACCTGGGGTCAGGAGACGGTGTCCGGGAGAGTCCCTTATCAACCCTGGCTTTAAAAGGTACTTGCCCCTCCCTGTGCTCAGGGTCCAACCTGAACTCAGCCCCTCCCTCCACACTCCATAGTGTCACCCTCTTCTTTCCTAGTAAGAAACCAGCTGGCGGCGTAAACTTTGATGAAACCTGAAGGTACAGCAAAAAACGTGGCCCTGCTGAGAGTCTGCCTGTGAGGGGAGGGGTAGCCTCCAAGGTCCCCCCACTGGAGACCTCCACCACCCGTTCCACTTGCCTGCCCTGCTGCCGGGCAGGAATAAGGCAGCTCCTCAAGTCCCTTCCCCACCAAATAAATACTCCCTCGGGGTGCAGGTGCTGGCCAGACTCTGGCTTCTGGGCATTGGTCTGGGGGGGTCAGGAAACCCCCTTGGGGTCTGTACTGTGGGCAGGGGGCCGCAGGACGTAACAGCTGCACCAGGCTCCCAGGTCTGGAGGAGGCTTTTCCTTGCTGGGTCTAGGGATGGCAAGGGAGGTCTCCCAGACCCGTCCAGCTCTTCCTGTCTGGACGGCCCAGGCCCTGAGAGGGGCCCAACCAGGGTGAGGGCTCTCTAAGTCTTGGAACTCTGTTCTGACTCCTCCAAGCCCCACCCAGTCAGGGCACAGCCACAAGTGCGCCACACAGGGATGCACACAGGAGAAAGTCCTGCGCAGACACATGTTTGGATGGCAACCCCTCTGAAGCCCCCTGGCGGGAGGAGGATGGCCTGCTGCCTGGGACGGGCTGCAGAATGTGGGCCAGCTCCCACCCACCTGGCCTGGAGCCCAGAGGTGGTGTTTTGTGGACTCCCCTCCCCACCCTCCTTGGCCATCCAGGGTGCCCTGCCCCACCCTGGCCTGACTGGTTTGGGAGCCCAATCCTGTCCCCAAGATCCCTGACGCCACCACTGCAGGAGGCCCCAAGTGGGTGGCCTGACTCAGTGTGGTGAGATGGACCACGCCCTGACCACTGGGCCCTCCTGCCCATGAATTTCTGGGCTGTCATCTTAGGTTGAGCGTCCCACCCTGGAGGTTTGGGGATGAGAAGCACGTCCAGGTGGGGGCCGTGCTGGTGGGGCCCTCAGATGTCAGGACTCGCGCACTCAGGACAGAGAAACCTTTATGGGGTCGCAGACGCAGGGGCAGGGCGAGGGCGCACGGCGGGCCGGTAGGCCACCAGGATCTCCGAGCTGTGCGGACACGTGTACTTGAACTCCTTCTCCCGCAGCGCGCAGTCCAGGTAGCGGCGGACACCGCGCAGCTCGGCGGGGATAGGCGCCTGGCGAAAGTGTGCGCACACCGTCTGCAGTGGGGGGGCGTGGTCAGGACCCCCTCCAGGGTCCGCCCGTGCCCTCCGCCCCCGCCCCCGCCCCCGCCCCCGCTCACGTCGACTATGTGCAATTTGGGCAGCAGGCGGCAGTCGGCCAGTGAGAGCTGGTTGCCATCTAGGAAGCGGCGGCGCGACTGGCGCAGCTGGGGCTCCCCCTCCAGTTCGTGCTCCAGGGGCGCGAGCAAGTAGCTGTCTAGCCTGGCGAGGGCGCGCAGCAGCTGCTGGTACAGGGCTGGGGGCGGGTGTGCGGTGAGCAGCGGGCCGGAGCGCGCCCTCCCGCCCCAGGGCCCAGCCCTGCCTCACCATCGTCCTGCGCGGGCACCGGGTTCTTGATGAACGCGGAGAACTTATGGAAGATGTCGTTACCCGCTGTGTTGGACTCCCTGTAACGCGGCGCCAGGCTGGGGAAGCTGCGGAGGTGGGGGGTGTGAGGGACCCGGGTCAGACCTTCCTGCTGCTGCCCTGCTCCCGCCCCATAGTACCCCAAAGCATCCTCTCAGAGCTGTCCTGGGGGCGTCCTCCCTGGGGCCCCATCTTTGTCCCACCCTTGCCGGCCCTCACTCGGGTGGCCCCAGGGTCTCCTCCAGAAATTCTTCAATCTGCAGCGTGTCCGTCTTGGCGTCACCATCACACAGCAAGATGGGCAGCTGTGAGCCGGGGGCAAAGTCCTTCAGCACGTCCGGGGACCTGTGGGCACCAGCAGGGAAGGAGGTGGCTGGCCCACCAGCGTGCAGAGGCCAGGGAGGCGCCCCAGGGTGGGGTCTCACCTGCGCGTGTCCACCGTGGTGAGTGTGAAGGGCACGCCCTTGAGGAGCAGGACCATGAAGAGCCGCTGGCAGGAGGGGCAGTGCCCCACGCTCTCCCCGTCCTCGCTCGCCTAGGGTAGGTGGAGCAGAGAGTGTTGGGCTGGGAGGAGACCCAGGAACCTGCCACCAGGCTGGGTGGGACCCTGCCTCCTACTGCCAGTGGAACTGGAGCAGCGCCAGTTCTCCGGCCTCCAAGTGCCCAGTGAGGGTGATTGACTCATTCCCCAGGAGATGGGGAAGGGCAGGACCCTGTCTGTGGGGCCCGGCGCCTGGCACTTTATCTTCAGAACTTGGGCAGAGGCCAGGCTCCTGGGCTTGGGCCCCAAAAGCTGGTTGCAAGGGTAGGGTGAGCCCAGCAAGCTGTTTTTTTTTTTTTTTTTTTTTGAGACAGAGTCTCACTCTTTTGCCCGGGCTAGAGTGAGTGCCGTGGCGTCGGCCTAGCTCACAGCAACCTCACACTCCTGGGCTCAAGCGATCCTCCTGCCTCAGCCTCCCGAGTAGCTGGGACTACAGGCATGCGCCACCAAGCCCGGCTAATTTTTTCTATATATTTTTAGTTGTCCAATTAATGTCTTTCTATTTTTAGTAGAGACAGGGTCTCGCTCTTGCTCAGGCTGGTTTCGAACTCCTGAGCTCAAACAATCCGCCCGCCTCGGCCTCCCAGAGTGCTAGGATTACAGGCGTGAGCCACTGCGCCCGGCCTGCAACCTGTTTTCCGAGCAATCTACCCGCCAGACCGGGCACTGCCTGGGAGCACAGGGCTCCCCCAAGCCCTGAGGGTGGAGAGGGGCTGAGGCCTGGCAGCCCCCTGCACATGGATCTGGGCGCCAGCCTGAGAGATGTTAGGGCTGCCTGGCCCAGCCCCCCCTTCCTGGCACACTGATCTTTGCTCCAGGAGGGCTGGGCTGGGTCTGGGAGCCAAGGCTGCGAGTGGGACCAGGGCCACACTGACCCCTTATGGGGGTAACTCACTGGGTCCTTCTGTCCCAGGCTGTCCCCGCTTCACTCAGCCTCTGTAGGGCTGCCTGAGTCCCCTGAGCCCAGCACAGGGGAGAGGCTCAGACACTGCTGGAGAGGCCCATGCCTCTGCTGGCCCCATAAAGCAGTCCCAAAAGCACCCTGCCCAAGCCCTTCCCTCCAGCCCCGCCTGCCCGCACCTTGACAAACAGCTGGAGCTTGGTGGTCTCGGCCATGGCGAGAGCTGAGGCGGTCAGGGCGCAAGCGGGAACCTTCGGAGCTCTTTAAGTCTCCCTGTGTGCCCCGCCCTCCTGGCCTAGGGGCCCGCCCCGTGGAGCCACCTAAGCGGGTGGATGAGGCTGCCTGTGTAACTCGAGCCGAAACTGGGGAGTCTGAGCATGAGGTGTGACTGTAGCAGGACAGCGCTGGGGGCTGCGCAGGGCGTGAGGCTGGCTCATACCCAAAGACAGTCCCCAGTGCTGAGTGCACGGCAGGGACCAGGAGGGTGCAAGATGGTAGTGTGGTGGGTGGAGACCAGTGGACCAGGAGGCAGGCAGCACCCATGGCCGAGGGCTGCAGGGGGCGTCAGCCTGGATCAGGAACACCCCACCATGAGCCAGCTCAGGGCCTGCCCCAGGACCCTCCCTGCAGGCCCCAGCCCAAAAAGCCAGGGGTGAGGGTAGGTAGGAGAAATGACCAGCCTGGCCTCAGTTTCCCCATCAGTATCAGGGCATTACAGGGGTGATAAGCCCAGCTGGAAGAGAAGCCCCCTCCTGCCAGCTGAGCTCTGGCAGGCAGGGCCCCCCAGGGTGGGGCTCACATTCCAGACAGGACAGGCTGGGGGACCAGCCTGGCTTTGGTGTTTGAACCCATCTCCCATCCTTCCCACTTGGGCTGGGAGCAGGTTTCTTATCCCTATCAGCCTTTAAAAAGCAGCACCCGGAGGGGCTGAGAAGCCACAGCCTGCATGGTCCCCGCTGGAAGGAAAAGGCCAGGGCAGCTCTGGCCGTCTGCGAGTGAGCCTGTGCGCCCCGCCCTTGCCTCGCGGCCGACTGGTGCCCACAGCTCAGTCTCTGCCTTTGAGGTCACGCGCTGTGCCTCCATCCTTCCTGGGCCCTGGTGTCTGGGGGGGCACCCCCAGGGGGTACCCCGAGGGGAGACACCCCCTGGGGACCCAGGGCACCCACAGGATTGCCTGGCTGCCTTAGTCCCCCCGAAGCAGTGTGGTCCCGGTGCCTGAGTGGCCTGGGTAGGGCAGCCAAGGTGGCACTGCTCACTTGCCTGCTCGCCGAGGCCTCAGCTGTGGCGGGGCCCCCGTGCCACCATCCAGGCCCCATGACTGTCTCAGGTGGCCACGCCCCAGGGCCCTCTTTGCCAGCCCAGCCTGGCCCCTTCCTGGAGCCACCAGCCAGGGCTTCCGGTTACGGGCCGCTGTACGAGCCTTGGCCACTTGCTGTGGGGCGCTGGCATCCTTTGCAGTCCGGAGCTCTGCTCCCAGCTAGAACCTCGGTTCCCCTCCGCCCTGCCTCTGCATCGATTCCAAGCGCCCGGGTTTCGGCTGTTTCCTGCCAGTGTGGCCAGAGCTCCACCTGCCGGCTTCCTGCGCCAGCTGCAGAGACGCCCTGAGCCCTCTGCACCTGCTGCCCTGGCCACCCGGCGTGTTTGTACGTGGGGATAAAAGCAGCCTTACTCGTCCACGAGAAAAACAGAATGGACAGAGGATATGAACTGGCGCCTCAGAGAAAAGGAAAGAGAAAACAACACATTGTGTCAAAATGTTCCACCTCACGCTTGACCAGATGAAACGTGGTTCATCTCTGCAACCCACAGAAATGGGGTCACGCTGTCGTTTGTCAAGTGTGAGGTGTCAACTAGTGTGATGACAGTGGCCGTCCGAACGCTGTCCCCCAGTGCCCTGCCCGCCTGGGAGCCCACTGATCCTCCTAAAGCCTGCCTGCTGTCCCACTTAGCGGCAAAATCCTGGGACACAGCCACCGTCCTGGTCTGCAGGGGAGTCCCCCGGGTCCAGGGACGAGGACAGAAGAGGTGGGTGCACACAGGCCTGCTGCGGGAGAAAGTGGTAAATGAGGTTAAGTGATGTTACGGACTGGGTCTTGTCTCCCAAAATTCACACGCTGGAGCCCTAACCTGCAGTCCCTCAGAAGGTCTGTTCAGAAGTAATCAAGTTAAAATGAGGTCGCTAGGGTGGGCCCTAATTCAGCATGACTGGCGTCAGTATAAAAGGGAGATTTGAGCTGGGTGTGGTGGCGCACCTTGTGGTCCCAGCTACTCAGAGGAGGCTGAGGCGGGAGGATGCTTGAGCCCAGGAGGTGGAGGCTGCAGTGAGCTGTGATCGCGCCTGTGAACAGCCACTACACTCCAGCCTGGCGACAGTGAAACGCCGTCTCCGATAAAATATATGTATCTTTAGGAAGGTAGATTTAGACAGACATACACAGAGGGAACTCCACGTGAAGCTGAAGGCAGACAGCGGTGACGCGCCTGCAAGCCATAGAACACCAAGGACTGCCCCGCACGCCGGGAGCTGCGGGGAGGCTGGGGCCGCTGCCCCACCGACACCCGGTCTCAGACTTCCAGCCTCCAGATAGAAAATGAG